TTTAGCAACTAATGCTAATTAATTTTATGACCAGAGAAAAAAAAAAAAATCTTCCACTTTCAATTCCTCACTTTCACTATACTTTTTTCCTCACTAAGGTTTCCATTATTACAACTTTTTTATTATAAAAAAGTGTTTCCAAGGGCGCTGTATTGAAAACCATGATTTCCCAGGAAAGAATAACAAATATTATTGCTTTGACAAAAACAACGTACAAAATGGTTAAAATAAGACAAAAACTTTATCATTTGCGAGTTTATCATTAGCTTGTAAAATCATTTTGCAATGCTAAAACGCTCAGTGGGATGCACAAAAAATGTTGATCAAGTTATTAAGTTTTTACGCTTATTTTGCTTTCATTTAAATTGAAAAGATTTCAGTGAAATTGTTTTCATATAAATTTAAAAATCTTAAAAATATTTAAGTTATAATTGTAAATCAAAAGAAAATATTTTTTGAAGACGTTTTATTTATTTATTTTCAATACAATAAAAAAATATACATTTTTAATTTTAAAAACTTGAATACAATCTGAAGACGCACCCCATCCTTCGTAACCTGTTTTTAAAACATTGAGATAGTTAATTTACTCACGGGTGTCATTTTCATAAGGCATAATATTCTCACATAAAGTTTAACATTCATATAGTTTCAAGATTGAAATGTTGGATTTTTAAAAAGATTTAAGATTTATTTATTCTGCACACATAAAGGTGAGATTTTAGCAAAAATTTGTTAAAGACACCTATAATACAGTCACTTTTGGTGAAGTTTCTGTCGAAATTTTACATCCAAAATAGTAGCAAACAAATCAACTAGATTTTTATCTAATCCAGTGATAACTGTAAATGATTCTACTTTATTAAAAAACTTTCTACTGGTGTCATTACTGTTTCCTTTATTTGACAGGAAGTCATCAACAATTAATCTGAGCTCATTTTTAAACTTAAATTGAACTTGTATTTTTCTCTTCTTTTTTTTAATGTACGTTTTGATCTGCCATTTTTTATTGTTCAGGTGTGGATCTAGGGTGTATTCTGCGATGCTCAGGATTCATCCATAATATTTAAATAATTTATAATAAAATCTTCTTACCAACTTGAAAAAAAAATTATAGTATACAAGTATACATTTAACTTTTAGTATACAAGTATATATTTATAAGACTTATAGTATACAAGTATGTATTTATAAAGACATATATATAAGTAAAATATCTGCGACTTTGATATTATGAAGAGAAACAATTAAAAAAAAAAAGCTTTTCTTCGCTATGCTCAAATAACGGTATTGGCGCGTATTTCAGGATTCATTTTTTAAAGTAAACAGAACTGAGAGAACCCCTCTAATCAAACTTTTTTAGAAGCCATAGGTTATACGGTTTTTTGTGTTTAACGCGATGGGATTTAAAATGCAAAACAACAATATAAAATTATCTTGTAAATTGCTGCAAGCAAGATATTTCATTGATATAACAAAATAGTCCAAAGTTTATAACTTATTCCTTACTTAATCAGTAATAAAATCAAAGGATTGTAAAAATAGTTCAAGCGCAGTTTAAAAACACTTAATAATAATCATAAACTTTAAAAATAATACTTTATTTAATGATTTTTAATCAATAAATAAGAGATCGTCATGACAGTTGAAGCTTTAGTACAATTTTATGTTTATAGACTTTAAGTTTGTCAGGGTAATATTAATCCGATTATAAATTTTGAATGAACTGTTTAAATTTTTACTATAAAGATAAAAAACATTTTAAATCAATTTTGGTTGATTTTACTGTATTTTTTTTTAAAAAAAAACAACCTGTTCTGATTGAGCAATCAAAGTGTTTCCATTTAAGGAACCAGTTGCCTTGATTGAAACAAAATAGTAACTTTGCAAATACAAACTTATTTCAAATAACAGTGCAATCAATTAAGTAAAATTATGGCAAAAAGTGTAGTAGGGATGCCTGTTTGTATTAATCAAATCATAAATCTTTTCATAGTTAAGCCATCTTTGGTTAATAAATATTTATTTCTAAAGTGTTCTAATTAAGGTAACTCTCCCCTATAATGAGTATCTTTTAACCTATTTTTTTTTACTTCCTGTTTGTGTTTTAGGATGAGTTGTTAAAAAATTTTATTAGATTTGTTTATATTTATAATTATATTATTAATAGTTTGTAGAAAGTAATAAACAACTTTTTATAAATACTATGTTTATTTTAATCTATTCTTCCAATTTGTTCTTTAGAACAAGTTGGAAGATTTTGAAACAAATTGGACATTAATAAAGTTCTTTGTATAGATTTTATCGCGTTATTGTAATTAAATTGATTATAGTTTGTAGAAAGTGATAAATGAGTTTTTATATGTATTGTGTATAAGTTCTCTTGAATGAATTGTTAAAACATTTTAATAGATTTTATCGCATTATTATAATTAGATTAATTAAAGTTTATATTAAGTAATAAAATACTTTTTTATATATATTTTGTATTAATTCATTAGAATGACTTGATACAATTTATTAATAGATTTTATCACATTGTAATGAAATTAATTATAAATTATAGAAAGTAATAAATTAATTATAGTTTATAGAAAGTTATAGATATTTTGAAACAGTAGAGTTTGCATATTATTAGATAAAGAAGTTATACTCGTAATAAAGTATGTCATGCATAATTTATGCATGATCTACTTCAAAGTTAATTTGTGCAATATAAGTTCAAATTAAAAATGTTTTATTTTTTCTATTTAAAAGTTAAATCCAGTATGTTTTTTTTTATTCCAGTTGAACTTTATCAAATTATCCGCTTAGTTGTACCTTGGTTTAGTTGAACCATTCACTAACTGGTGTAGTTTTTTAGGGTCCATAAATTGCTTTATAATATATATTATGCGTAAATTACTTTTTATATATATTAAGTATTTTTTAACTTGTTTTATCGTTACTTCCTGTTTGCTCTTTATAATACGTTTTGTATTTTACCATTACGTTATCATTAACGTTAACATTACGCATTATTGTAATTAAATTAATAATATATTATAGAAAGTAATAAATTACCTTTTTATAAATATTGCACATAAATTACTTTTTATATATATTGGGTATCTTTTTAACTTATTTTATCATTACTTCCTATTTGTTCTTTAAAATAGCTTGTTAAATTTTTTTTAATAGATTTTTTTGAGTTATTGAATTTTGCTCTTAATGAAGCACTTATACAAACAATGTATATAGAAAAGAATAAGTTTCTACGTGTATTGCGTATCTTTAAACCTATTTTTTCGTTACTTCCTATTTGTTCTTTAGTATGACTTGTTAAAATATTTTTGACAGATTTTTTGTATATTTATAGTTTTATAGTAAGTAATAAACTACTTTTTCTATTTACTGTGCATTTTTTTAACTTTGTCTTCCAATTTGTTTTGAATTGTAATTTTATATATATTGTAGGGATAAATTACTTTTTATATATATTGGGTGTCCTTTTAACCTAATTTTTTGTTACTCCCTATTTGTTATTTAAAAGGAGTAATTAAAATTTTTAAGTAGATTTTATCGCATTATTGTAATTAAATCAGTTATAGCTTATACTAAGTAATAATTTACTTTTTATAAATATTGGGTATCCTTTCAACCTATTTTTTCCTTACTCCCTATTTATTTTTTAGAATGACTTGATAAAACTTTTTAATAGATTTTATTGCATTATTGTAATTAACTTAGTAATAGTTTATAAAAAGTAAAAACTTACTTTCTATATATATTATGCATATTTTTAATATGCATAATATATATAGAATTTCTTTAGAATGACGGTATTTGTAATTATAGTATATTAGTTTGTGCTTAGATAAACAATACATTTTGTATTGGTTTTTGTTACCATTATAGGTATTTAAACAAACTTTAAATATTTAATCTCAACTGAAGATAACTAGTGGTCGTCGAAACATGTTTTATTTTTATCAATAAAATGGTTTTAACAATTAAAAAGATTGTCTTATTGTTTTATTTTGGATATATATATATATATATATATATATATATATATATATATATATATATATATATATATATATATATATATATATATATATATATATGTATTGTAGAATACATTAACATAATCTATATACATTGTATATAAATTATGATTTAAGTGTATTCTACAAATAGAGTGCTCAATGTTCTTAAAAAAAAGAGCAATAATAACTTAGTAAACACACTTATCTAATTTTTTTCTTCAACAAATTGTTTTTTCATTAGTAAGTTTATCAAGAAGCTTCCTGATGAAATTGTTGAAGACAAAAATTAGATAAGTGTTTTAACTAATATATATATATATATATATATATATATATATATATATATATATATATATATATATATATATATATATATATATATATATATATATATATATATATATTGTAAGTTACTATAATTAGTAGCGCGTCAACCATTGAGCAGTTATATATAATGAAATGCTCCGTTCGTTGACGGTAAAACACGTTTGTTTCAAACACGTGGTATTTATTACTTTGAACAGTATTTAGTAAATGTTTACAAATATTTACAAATTAAATATTTATTTTAAAAGTTTATCAACCACCAGGCAAGGCTTTCTCACAATGAGATCTACATCTCAGTTTTGAGCTTGGCTAGTGGTTGATTAACTTTTAAAATAAATTTATAATTTTTAAAAACCTGTCTCTAAAAATGTTCTGTAAAATAAATTTAAAGCGTTCTGTAAAATAAAGCAGAATAGTTTTGTTTAAAACGACAGGAGTCTAAATACGCGATTACATCATAGTTTTTCAAAACCTAATAGCACTGGAAATTGACTGCCATTCAAAATTAACTTTTATAAAAATAAACTAATTTTTTTTTCTATCATTTTTATTTTTTTTATCGCTCGTATTAGTCATTTTTAAAATCATATCTATGTGTTACAATGTTATTAAATACAATTTTATTGCTATAGTATTGCATACTGTATAATATAGGCTAATTTGAAAGATGGAAAGATACAAAGGTTTGAACCAAAGTATATTAAATAAGTATATGGAGCTTGATACAAGAGGAAGAATTCAAGCAAATTACATATGGATTGATGGTTCAGGTAAAACGCTACGATCAAAAACAAAAACCCTTGACTATGAACCTGAAATTCCTGATCAGTTGCCTATATGGAATTTTGATGGTTCTTCAACTGGCCAAGCGACTGGAAAAAACAGTGACGTTTATTTGCATCCAGTTGCAATATTCCCTGATCCATTTAGGCAAGGTAAACACAAACTTGTTCTTTGTGAAACTTACACTTACGACCACAAGCCAACTGAATCTAACAAGAGAAAATCTTGTAAAGCTGTTATGGAGGCAGTAAAAGTAATATTTTCACTTATTTTACTTCTAATTATAGCAACAAATGATGTTTCAAAGTTCCCATTATTCCTATTTTTTTTTTTATAGGCATAAAAGATATTATATGATTTTTAGTGTATAAAGTTTATTATGTTATGTTATTGTAATATTATGGTGTATACAGCTTGTAGAAATTGTAGTTAATTTAAAACTCTTTTTCAATAAAATATATGAGTTAATAAACTCTTATAACTTATATAAGTTTTAAGAGTTCTTTAACTCTGTTAAAAAAAATTTAAAACTATTGCATTAGGATACTCACCCCTGGTTTGGTTTGGAGCAAGAGTATTCATTACTTGATCGTGATGGTCATCCCCTTGGCTGGCCAAAAGGTGGATTTCCTGCTGCTCAAGGACCTTACTACTGTGCAGTTGGAACTGGAAAAGTTTTTGGTAGAGAGGTGATGGAAGCACATTACAGAGCATGTCTTTATGCAGGATTGAAAATTGCTGGTGAAAATGCCGAAGTCATGGCATCACAGGTTTACATTTTCTTTTTATTATAAAAATTTTGCAGAAAATGTTTTAGCACATATTTTTATATAACTTTTTTTATAGTGGGAGTTTCAAATTGGACCATGTGAGGGAATTGAAATGGGTGATCAACTTTGGGTTGCTAGATATTTACTAGAACGAGTGGCTGAAGATTTTGGCATTGTTGTTACGCTTGATCCTAAGCCCATTCCAGGAAATTGGAATGGTGCTGGATGTCACTCAAATTTTAGGTTTATGTTTACGTTTTATCAAAATGTTTTTATAAGATTAATGTTTATCACTTGAACTACTATTTCTATTTGGCTTTTGCAAGATTTAACAATTCTAATTGTTTAATATAATTCTATTAATAATAAATAGTATTTATATAGTGTTTATTTTATTTTTTATATATATGTAAAGATTATTTGTTTATGTAGTTCAGATGTTTTATATATAAACATTTTTACAGGTTTAGTTGACAGGTTTATTTTTTTAATAGCACACTGGAGATGCGAGAGGAGGGAGGAATAAAGAAGATATACGAAGCGATTGATTGGTTATCTAAAAATCACAAACACCACATTCGTTGCTATGACCCAGCAGGCGGCAAAGATAATGAGAGACGTCTCACTGGTCATCATGAAACTTCTACAATACATGAATTCTCACATGGTGTAGCCAATCGTGGTTGTAGTATTCGAGTTCCACGCCAATGTGCTGAAGATGGCTATGGTTATTTAGAAGATCGAAGACCTGCTTCAAACTGTGATCCTTATGTGGTTACAGAAGCGCTTGTGCGCACAGTTATTTTAAATGAAATAGTGGATGAATAAATTCAGTGAAAATAAGTTGTAAAATTTATGTTTAAATTATGGTTGAAGAGTGCAAAGAAATAAAGAAGAATTAATTAAATATTTTAATATAAATTGTATTCTTAAAATAAATTTTTCACAGATATTTACAAATAGTGATAAAATACTAATTAAGTATTATTAAGTAAACACCTTAAAAAAATTTTGTATGATATACTTATTTTGCTAGTGAAATAATTATTTTTCTTATAAAAGTTACTTTAAGTAATATTAAATAGGCAATATTAGTTTTATGGTAACACGAAGATTGACTACTGTAAAAAGGGTACCCTTAAAAAAAAAAAATTGGACATGATTTATTATATTTAAGCTGAAAATTAAAATTAGCAACTTACATTTCAAGAGTTCTGATCAATGTATGAAGCACTGTATAAAGGTACTAAGTTGGGGGTCATTTTTTAAGGTTCCTTGATGAAAATCAAAATATTTCATACATATAATTATCTTCTTTTGTGGCTGTTCCAAACCGAGCTTTACGGCTTCTTGTTATTTTTTGAAAATATTGACTCAAGGGGTGCTTTTAAAACATTTATAACCTTTAAAATATAAGAATTTTTTTTTTTGTAAAAAGAACAAAAACACCAATAAAATGTCTTATCTTACAAAATCTAGAACATTAGTAAAAAAACTTCTTTTAGTTTAGATTAAACGCGACAAATGATGAACTTGATTGAATTTTGATATATATATATATATATATATATATATATATATATATATATATATATATATATATAAAAATCAGAAAAATATATTTCTGATTATTATTAGTTATTATAAAATACGCTTATTGTTTGACTTATAAAAACAAAAAAACCGTAATTGTTAAAAGTTTACTAAATCAGACTATATTGAAGTCAGAAAGCAAACCGCAATTTTCACCAAAATATGAAAAATGACGACAAAAAGAGAATTAGCTGTTGATGTACGCTTTTAAATCTAGAATTTCTTATTTTGGAATATAAGTTCACCTAGCTGATAAATTCATTGCATTACAAAATAAAACCAGATTTCGATTTTGAAACATTTAAAAGCATTTAAAAAACTAGAGCATTTTATTATTACATTTCTAATAATATGGTGTTAGGTTGTTAATAAATAAAGACTTACCAAGTCTAATAAAATAATTCATGACCAAATTTGAGATAAAGTTTTTTAATTAATCTCGCTTTTGGTGAGAAAAATTGTGACAAACAACATTTACAAATTCTTTATTTATTAAACTAAATTTTTATACCAACTTGGTATTAACTTAACTAGAAAAGAGGTATAAAGAGCAAAGGTACTGTAAAGGTAGAACTAACTCCTGATCACAATATTCGAATGGACATCTAAAAAATAAAATAAATATTACAAATAATTTAGTATATTACAAATAATTTAATACACAAACATACAAGAACTCAACAAACCAGTTGCTCTGATCATAAGGTAAAATGGTAGCTATATTTAAAATGGTAGCTATATTTTTTACATCCATTTGATGCTAGACTTATACTCCATTCTTTAACCTGAGCGAAGGTATTACATAGGTATAATTAACTTCTGAAGATAGGAATAGAATGGGCATCTACCTAAAATATAAAATAAGTATAATAAATATTTTAAACAAACATCACACAGACATATTAGAACAGAATAAAGTTCTCTTTTTTTATAAGTTAAGGATCTTAGATGTAAAAAGTTTTTTTGTTTTTTTGTTTTAATATTTTAAATATTCAAACTAAATTTGATAACCGCAAACAAGACAAAGACCTTGTCTATAATTTTTTTCAGAAATATAAAGGTCAAGACATTCTATATCTTCACCATGACATGCTAAACACTTGAACTTCTCTATGCCACACAATACACTCTTTTCCGAATCATCAATAATTTCACTAAATTGATGAAACCATTTTTGGCACGTACCACACTGTATCCATTCATTCGTTCTCACATTTCCATTATGCGACGAATCAGCTTGACAAAGACAAATCAGCTTGACAATCTAAGGTCTTACACACCTTCAACAATAACTTATACAGTTTTAACACAATTCCTAACATAATATGCAAAGTAGACGGTATACCGTCTACTTTGCATATTATGTTATGTTAGTATACTACATTATCAAAATTTATTATGGGGAAAGTCACAGGAGCAATAATTGATTTATGAAACTTACTTAGAGCCCTAAAGTTTCCACCTTGTCTATCTTCACACAAGTTCTTATTATAAGCACTTTAAAGTATAAAGTGGTACGTTTGTTGTTAAATACACATCATAGAAATCCTATAACACAAAAACAAAGTTAAAACTGTACCTTCAGAACGTGCAGAGACTTAATCGTTTCTCTGCAGGAACGGAAGAATTTTTCACAGTTCGATATGCCTATAATATTTTTAGAATACGAAAATTTGGAAAAACCCAGAGATGTATTGTTTTCCTTAATATGTTATAATTAGCAGTTGTGTGAGGCATAGAAGCCTGGTTTCTTAGAGAATTCGACTCAACTAGGCCTTTAGAACTAGGAAAGCTAGCAGCTGAAACCTGGTGTCACATAACATCATCGATGAAATGAAAATCTTCACCTAAGAACAACCTGACAATTTTGCTTTAAAAACAAAAAAAAAAATTGTTTCTTTTTTTAACGTTTTTACTTTAGGCACATTTTATCAAACTCTCATTGCTAGGCATATCAAATCAATCGGCAAAAGAAAGCTTATAACATTAAAAAAATTGCCTCTTATTTTAAAGACTGTCATTAAAATGGAAATGACATTGTTAGTGATCTTATTTGCCTTAATTAATCGTTTAACAAAAATAAAGTTACATCTTCTTAACCATTTTCTATCGAATGTGTTGTTTCAAAAGATCCTTCTCAGTTGAATACATAGTAACTAAAATAAAATTGACTTATTAATAAATATAACAAATAAAACAAACAAATAAAATAATATTAATAAACAAATATATGCATTAGATAAAAGTGAATTTAACAACTTATCTGATATTAGTTTGATAATCCAAAGAGAAAAATTCCGCGTAACTTTGTTTACTTCAAAAATTGACTTGCCGAAACAGTTGTTTTGACGAAATTCGTTACTAAATAGTTTGGGACGTAACACAATGGTTACGTCATCGCAATAAAACGTCAACATAAATACGACATAAGTACGCTTAAAACTAACAAGATTAGTTGTAAAACATTTTTGAAAAAATATTTGACGACATAGCTGAAGGTACATAAAATAACATTTTTATTTTCATTTCCATAAAAGGTTAAAATTTTAATAACTTACGTCATCCATCAAAAGAGTTACGTTTTGAATTTAAAAACGATAAATTAAAAAATACAAATGCTTTAAAGACTTTAAAGTCTTTTTTTATAAAAAATCTCAAGGATGACGTAGGAATCTGATAGCACTTGTGCTTGAAATTTCGAAAAAATTTTTTTTGTCAAAAGATACAACTCGCGAGGTTATAATTATTTTGTTCTATCTCTGTGTTTTTCCGAAAATCAAGTTCAAAGTTTTAAATTGACCTGCAGACCAAATAACATGAAAAACGCAAACAAAACCGATTTTTATTAATTTCCTTTTCAGGCCATCACAGTTTTAAAGAAATTGTATTAAAATATTACAAGTGCAGGTGTCTGAATTACTACACCCTTATTTGGAGATAAAACAATGTAATACATACTTATTTTATAAATTATAGTTTTATTTTGTTCTATCTCCTTTTTCTGTTAAAAAAAATTAATACAAACTAGTATATTTTATGTATGATTGTATATTTTGGCAATTAAAGGACTGCAAGGTACATATCTGTTTTATTAGAAAAAAAAATCTTATTTTACACTAGTGAACAAATAATATAAACACGCTATTTTGTCTAAAATTTAATTCAACAGAGAAGATAAGTAATATATATCTAAAGTATGTACCAAGATCTTCACAACGAAATAAAACTTTATTTATAAGTTCTAAAAGCATAACAACTAAAATACATTGCACAATAAAAAGATATCTTAAAGAATAATTAGTGAACCAGCACCTCTGGTTAGTCTATTAAAAATATAACATAACAGTAAGAAACCCATTTATCAACATAACATATAAAGCATATATATTTTGACAATAATATAAATTATTTTAAAAAACTCTTATAAAATGCAATATTAATAGCAGGCATATACTTGAACAAGTTTTGAAGGACATTGGCTTTATCATTTGAAATTTGAGCACCCTTATTCAAGACAGAAAACATTAGTATCTCTACAATTACTAAGATTGTAGTTTGTTAATCTTTTACCTCGAAAGTTTAATTTTTGTTTTTCTGTCATAATAAAATCCGCTACCATTTTGGCGTAAATAAGTTTTGATTGGATAAAACGGAGATAGCACATAATAATTTTAATTTTTAAACAGGATTAAGGAGATAGAACAAAATGCAATGTCAGGCATAGTGAGTAAATTTTTTTTCTTTTACTGATTTATTTGTAAAAAATAAATATTTTATCCATAAAAAGAAAAAAAATTAATCTAACTCAAATTTTTACAGAACGCAAATTCAACCACTCAATTGATGGTAATTGTAATTTAAAACAAAGAGCGAATTTAATAGTTAAATTTTAGGCAGTTTACTCTCCTTTTAATTTAATTCTGATCTGATACACTTAGGTGTCACAAAAATATGTCATAAAAAAAAACCTTTTTCTTGCAAACTTCTCTTGTAAACCCAAATTTCCTTGTCTATACTAAGGTAGAAGAGAAATACACACTAAAAAACTGCTCTCAGATCATTTTAAGTGCTTACTGTTAAATTCCTAATTCTTTCTTTTTTTACTAGAAAAAATCAAAATAAAATAACTCGCAGTATGATTCTTTTATTCATAAATATATATCAATATTATCATATAGAAAGCTTTAAATTTGCATAAGTTCTTTTTGAGTTACTTTTTTTTTTCTCCTCTCCTGAGAATATTTAAAAAGGTTGTTTATTAAGTTTTTTTCAATGCAGTCGTTAGTCTTTTAACAAAATTTTCAAAAACAAATGATTTCAAAACCTGATATTTGACAGCATTTCCAAGTGAGAGTCAACTAGTGAAAATGCAACAATTGCTGGAAAAAGATACCACAAATGTTTGTGAAAACTTTTTATCAAAGCATTGCCAACATTGGGATTAAATTCTTTTTTGAGAACATATTCTGCTTTAAAATCATTCTATATAGCGCTTCTAGACTCAAGGTGCCGCGGAGCATAACAAACAGCGACAATAAAGACACATGTTTCTATTTGCTTCTTATTTTCTTATTTTCACCAGGTAAAAAGGTTATAATAGTGGATCATTTCTAGTGTAAGAAAATGCAAGGCATCAGCCATAAATTTTGCTTCGTGACTGGTTCTCCAGGATGATAATTTTTAAATTTGTTGTGTCTTCGGCCTTATTGTAGCCAACATTTTTAAAGATAAAACATTTTGAATACGTCACTGGACATTAGCGGGAAAACGTCCTCATACTCAATGCAACTAAGGCCTGGTACACGATTTTCCGAACAAAAATATAAGTTTTTTCAATTACAATATATGTAAGTTTTTTCATCAAAAAGTATGACATATTTGGTATGTATGGAAAGATTTTTTTAACCACTATTATAAACTGGTAAAAGTAATGCGACTATTAGAAATCGTCAAGCGTAGTTTTATTTAGAAAAGATGCAACTTTTAACATAAAGTACCTTGGGGCGTGGCTATAGATAAGTCTATGAATTTGATTTTTTCATAAAAGTAAGTATTGGTGTTTATTTCAATGAATGTAACTTGACATTTTTAATCAGACATTGTTTGGAAAAATTATCCATGAAAAACCATTTTTTATGAAAATTGAAGTTACTATTTTCAATACCACACCTAAATCAGTATGTTTAACAATAATGTCACGTTAGATTTAGATAACCTAGTGTTAATTTTTCTACCAAAGTCGTTTTTGCATAAATAATCATAACTTTTAGCCCCATTTAAAAAACTGTTTTCGGTATTTAGTATTTTTTTTTGAAATACTCAGGACTTATTCGGCCATCTTGAAATAATAAATTATTGCGTAAACAATTAAAAAACACAGGCGGTAAACTTTATAAACAAATTACTTTCAGTTCGAATTCTTTGTTTGGATAAATTAAATACCAATAAATAAAATGGTTTTTGGTTTCCCACTAACAACCAATCGGATTTGTTTTAAATTATCGGCTTTTTTTTTTTTACGAGTTTGTTCTATGCCTTAGTTGCATTGAGTATATGTATAAATATAAAGTGCTTATTACAACAAAGAGATTTAAATCTCTTTGTTGTAATAAATTGTTGCAATAAATATTTTGTTATAATAAATATATTTGTAACATTGTTGTAATAAATATTTATTACCAAAAATATTCTTTAGTGTTCATTTATATATATTCGTATACTGTAACTTTGGGTGGCTATGGCCCTACTGGATGACTTTAGCCCAAGAAAAAACTTTGTTTAAAAATTGTTTAAATTGACAACGCAAGGTATTTTGGTTAATGTTTTGTTGCAAATTGTGGGAAATATATTATTTATTTAGCTTAACTTAGTTATAAGTTATAAGTCTTAATGGCATTCGCATAAATAGCACTTTAGTAGGAGCACCTAAATCCGATTTTTTTTAGGCGTGTAAACTTTTACATGAGTAGCAGTACATAATGAAGGTATTTTGATGGAATATGCACTGAATTAATTTTCAATTATTTGTGTTTGATTTTATTATGTTTTGGAAGCTTAAAAGTTTGTAGCTTCTATGGAGCTGGGTCTAAAAAACATTGGATGACTTTGGTCCACTAAATTGGGTGACTGTGGCACAGGCTTAGGTCATCCGGTGTAGTAAAAAGAAATTATTATGAAATAATTTTAAAGAATATTTATAAGTATTAGGGTAGTTTATGTGTTGTAATGATAGAAGTTTGAATTTTGTATTAGTAGTGCAATACAAAATCAGATTAAATATTTGTATATATTTTAAATATATATATTGTTTCAGTTCTTAGATCTTGACATATTTAAAATATGTCTAGAAGATAAAAACCTAGTCATGGAAGCACAGCAGTGAAGCAAAACATGTTACTGTAATTTAGAACAGTTACATCATAACGTTTTAACTCTATTCATACTGGGTCATGCTTTCAAGATGCGACACAGTTTTGAACTACTGTCATTTTTATCGTGCTTAATTATATTGATCAGAACTTTTTCATATTTCATTTACTATACTATATAATACTATTTTTATATAATTATTCATATATTTATTATTATATAATACTTTTTCCATCATGTGTGATTCAAGGAGTATCATAGTGGTCATATAGAAGTCTTGTCAAACACAAATCTAAAACTTAACTTTTAAAAGTATGTTCCCTTTGCAGAATATATTGTTATTGTTTGTTTATAATTAAATGTTACATTTTCTAGAGCTCGTCTTTTCATTTTATTGTTTGTTTGTATGTTTACTATGTTTATATTATGTTATAGTATTTTACCTTTTTTTTAATAGAAATATTGAAATAAGTCATACACAATGAAATAAATATCAACACCAACAACAAGATCGTCGATAAATAATCGATAACAAAGAAAATGAGATGAGAATGCAAAACCAAATTAAAATCCAAATTAAGTCAATTCCTTTAATAATACCCTTGAAAAAGCATTTTAAATAGAAATGTGTCCAAAACCTTGAACCTTATAATTTTGTTTCTTTACAATCTGTTGTGGAAACTGGTGCCATTATAAGGTGTTGTGTCTGTGTAAATCTTTATAGCCTATAATGATTAACATTGGGCATCCATAAATAAGTGTGCAAAATTTCAGGTTTAAATGATTTGTCAGTTAAAGTATGAATAGGGTTCAAGCCTTAAAAGCAGTTTTACAACTCAAAGACAAACAGCTTTAAAAATAAAATAATCATATCAAATTTAAAGATCAGTTTAAACGTGCCTATCTAAAAAAGTATGGTGGTAGCCATTACATATTTTTGCTGAAAAAATATGATTGTCT